TACAGCCACTGTGGGACAAGTACATATTTGAAGAAAATGTTGATTCCGGTGCCTTTGGTGCAGTAAAGAAAGTAAAGAACACTTAAGACGGTAAATTCTACGCTATGAAAGTACAAAATATCAAAAATCTAATGACAAGGGTGCCAAATAATTACAGCAACGAGATGGTCCGAATTCTTAGAGAGATCAACACATTCAGACTAAGCCATCCGAACATTACATAATTCAAAGAATCTTACTTCACCTATGAAGATGAGTTTGCCATTGTTACAGAGCTGGCAGAATCAAATCTCTAAGCATTCAGAGAAAACACAGAGCTGAACAATGCTCAGATTGCTGGCATAATGATCTAGATACTTAAAGGGACCATCCATCTTCACAACCAAAATATCATGCACAGAGATCTAAGTCCTGATAACATTCTAGTCTTTGAGAATGGCCAAAAATTCAAAATTTGCGATTTCGGAATGGCTCAGTTGTTATCCAGTTCAAATTCTTACGTAGGAAAACCATTTTTCAAAGCACCGGAAATAGACTCAGGCGAGGAATTCAGCTATAGCACTTAAGTTGACATTTGGTCTTTAGGAGTAATACTTTACTACATGTGCACTAAGAAATACCAATACTAAGGCAAGACAATAGCCAAGATTAAGTAACAAGATTTTTCAAAGTATATTCTACTTGAAGGTGAATAGAAGGTATTCGAACCACTCCTTAATAAAATGCTATAGCACAACCCTGCTTTAAGAATAGATGCATTCTAGGTGCTTCTAGAACTTTGCTAACTAAACAACGAACAGTTTAACAAGCATTTAGAAATAGAGGAACAAAAACAAATTCATCATAGTCCTAGTAATGATGAAGCTAAAAGTGCTTTTGCTTTAACGATATAATCAACCGATGCTTTTGTTAACGAAATTATAAACAAGCTAGGAGACTTCAACTATGGCGCAATTGATAAGGTTCATCCAAATCCAAACAGAATCTTCATGCCTCTTATTAAATATGATGATGGTACTATATATCAAGGTGAGTATGATACAATCACTAAATAAAGAGATGGAAGAGGCAGATATATTCTCAGTGATGGAGGAGTTTATGATGGGTTTTGGAAGAATGATTAGAGAGATGGATATGGAAGACTAATTATATTTGATGGAGATTATTACATTGGTGAGTAGAAAGATGGTAATAAGAATGGATATGGAAAGTATTATCATTATATTTCTGGAAATATTTATGAAGGGTAATGGGTAAATGGTAATAGCGAAGGCTTAGGATTGTATAAATGGAGAGATGGTGATAGTGATTATTACTATGGATAATGGGTGAATGGAAAGAGATAAGGTGTAGGAGTATTCACTTACAGTAGTGGAAATATTGAAGTTGGATAGTTTAAGAATAGTAAATATCATGGAGTGTAGATGTATATTCCAAAGAATGGTGGGCAGATATAAATAAGGAAATATGAGAATGGGAAGTTAGTGGAGACATTATTTAAAACAGATAATGTTTGAAAGTGAATTAATTTGATTAT